TATAATATTAGAAACTTTACCAAGCAAATCTGTTAATACTGTTAAAATTCCTACTGGTAAATATTAAATTTAATTTTAGTATTTATATTTAATAAATTTATTACTTATTTTTATATATTTTGAAATTTAGATTATTAAAGTATTTAAATAAACAATAAAATATATTATCTTTTAAATATAATTTAAAAATAGAGAACTTCTATTTGTACACGGGGGTGGACAATATAGATATCTCAAAATTTTGATTATGAAACCATCTTTTGGCTTCTAATAAAAAATTTTTTGTACAGACTATACCTTGCCAAATCCAAACCTACCCTTATACTAACCATAAGCAAGAGTTTAACTTTTTATTTGTAAAAATTGTTTTGACAATCAAAATATGTATAGTTTGTATCATAAAACATACATAAATATGCATAATAAGATAAATATATACGTACAATGAATATATAATGTCTAAAGAAAGAAATTGCTTTAATACTGTATAGAATAATATTTTTAAAGATGATATACGTATAAACATTATATTTACCTAATAAATATTCAATAGTTTAAATATTCTTATGGATAAAAAATAATTAAGGGATAGTTCGCCTCTGAAGGGGTAAAAATAAAATGGCAAATCTTATAATAAACAAAATCGAAAATTCATGTTTTTTCTATAGTACAGGAATCCGGCCAGATTACACATAAAATATTTTTTAATATGTAAGTAAACCTTCTTTGGCTTCTAATAAAAACCGTAGAACTAATTTTTCTGATTCTAATGGTGGTAAAATCATTAAAATCGGTTGGATATATCATGAGATACGAGTATTTTCGATTTTTTACTATAGGTTTTTGAATCACACGGGGATTCTATATAAGGCAAATAGTAAAACTGCGCCAATTTTTACTATGAAATTTATACCTTTCAATTGCGGACTACCCCTTAAAACATTTTGTAATTTATTTATTTGTTAGCCTGCATTTTACTTCGATAGAATTCAATCTCTCTTAATTGAGCAGCAACACATTTATTACATTTACATAAATCACCGTGTGAAGCAGATGATTCTTCCTTGCTTTGGTCGATATTCGACTTATATTCCATAATATTTTGTTCACCAACATACTCATGATCTTCACTATCATAATCAGATAAGTAATTATTATTTGATTTCATAAAATCACTTCCTGAATGGGAAGATGTTGATGAACCGTTACTAGAAGTAAGTTTTGAATAATTTTGTGGTCTTTTTGGAGAAATAGGAGTGTTAATTTGAACCGGTTGTGATTGAGACGAACGAGATTCACTTTTTGAACGTTTATGGATTTGGCCTGGAATATATTGAGAGTTGTTATAAAATCCAGGATTTTGTCTTTCTGGTAATAAGTTTTCGAAACGTCTTTCAGTACGAGAAATTAATGTTGGTGATGTTGGTGATAAAGGATTACTTTTAGTTGGGACAGATATATTTTTTGCTTGGTCAGAATAATATGATGTCTTTGGTATTTGAGTATCCCTAGTTACAACATTTCTTCTAGATTTCAGAGGCAGTCTGCTTGACTTTATATAATCTTCATCGTCTGTATCTTCCAAATCTTAATGAAGTCAATACATATTGAGTTACTGAAATTAATAAAACAAAATTTCTAATCTGAATAAATTAAATTTAATACCTGAGCTTGTCTGTTTGTTTGATTGGGATTCTTTCTCATCAAATTCTTTAATTGTTTGTTTAACAAATTCTTTCGATGATGGCTTTTGATTGGAAACCATTTCAAGGATGATGGATACATGTTGTTTGATTTCATCATTTTCTTTCCTTAATAGCTCTATTTCTTTTTTTTGAGCTTGACATTCTTTATTTTTAATTAAAAAATCTGTTTCCAATTCAAAAACTCTTTTATGAAGTGATTTTACTTCATCTTGTAAATTATTAGTCGAATCATGATTATTGATGCTATCTTGATAATTCGAATGAAGAGATTGATTTACTTTGGATGATTCTAATTGATCAATTCTTTGACGTAAATGTTCAATAGTTTTAGTTTGTTCTTCTAACTCTTTTATAAATGGGTTCATTGATAATAATTCAGATAATTTTGTTTGATAATCTTGAAATTGATCTGTTCTTTCATTAACTTCTGCCATATTGAAAAAACTATATGCAAATATGGACTGTTAAAAAATTACTTTTTAAATATGGACTGTTAAAAATTACTTTTTAAATATGAACTATTGAAGATTCTTTTTAAACAAATTTGGATTTATGCAAAAAAATTTTTTTCTTACAAAGCGTATTGGTACAAACTATATCATATAAAACAAAATATTTTGTCTTGTGTAATCATTATATATAATAGCGATACGTTACGTGCGTACAATTTAGTGAATTGTAACACATATACATCTGAATTTTGTCACACTATAAAGTCTCGCCATAGGCTTCACAAAGCTAAACATGTGTTCATTCAAACAATTCTTTGAATGGGATGATTATAAAAAAGATGAAAACTTGATATTTGATTTCGCTTAATTGATTTATAATTATATATCCGAATATAGCAGTTAACTTTTTTATACCCTACATATATGCGAGTCTAAATCCCAATTTTCTGCAAATCTGATGAAAGACAGAGACTATACGAAATTTTATATTAACCGTAAACTGCGTATGTAAGATCCCCAAATACCGGTTGTAGGTCCCATACGTATACATATCTGGGTGTTATAAACGCAAAATGTGTGTGCATTTCAAATTTTACGTATATAAGCTCTCAACCAATGTACTATAGGTTTTAATTAAAATTAATACTATATCCAGATATAAATCCAGATTTAATCATGATATCTAGACTTAAACGTATTGTTCCTATATATCCGAAACTAGGTTCATGAATGGATATTGCACTTATATCCGGATTTAATAGTTAAATCCGGATTCGACAATTAAATCTGGATCCAAGTATTAACGCTAATTAATATTGGTGAAACGTAAAAAATCGGTTTTATATACAGTAGTTTACGGCGGTATCGAATTTATCGCGTATGCTGTTGCGATAGCATTTTTATTAGAGATGTACAGTACCTTGCGTGAACTAAACCTAATAAACATCGCGAGTACTATTAAAAGCACGGGCACAAAGTTCCAAGCACTATCAGAGGCGCGAACAAATGTATCAGGAATTATTAAGGCACGGGCATAATTTCAGACATTATTAATAGAAATAATCAATACAGTTCAATCTAATTCAATTCAGCCTCAGTGCAAAAAAAACTTCTAAAATATAACCATTTGATTTGTCATTTTAAAAATTTGAATTACTGTATAATATTAGTAGTCAAAACATAGATTTAATTATATTTATTATATAAAAGTAGATTTCACTTTTATTGATTATAGTCAATTTTTTTTTAAGTTTTATTAAATGACGATTTTTATTTAAATACTATATATACAAATATATATTAATAAAAATTTATAATATCATAAAAATTAAAAATATTTCAAAATTTTGTTTATAAAACCATCTTCTGGATTTTAACAAAAAAATTTTTTTCTAAATATTTATATAATAACTCAAACACCCACATAATAAATTTGTTGTAAATATATAATTTATCTAAGTAATGAATAAATTATTTTAGATCTTGTAATTTACGTGTAATTAATATATATTAATATATGTAATATATTTTATCTAATTAAAATAGCCATATTGGCTGATTTTGATAAAGAAAACCAATCTTCCTAGGTTAGAGCGCGCCAATTATATATAATTCCATATGTCTAATGAAGTGTATCACTGGGAAGATTGAATTTCCTTGTCAAAATCAGCTGATATGCGTTTATATATGCTCTAGAAAAAGAAATTAAGATTTTCTAGTTTTACTAATTATAAGGCATTATATATAATTAATCAAATAGTGGCTTGTATGGATATTCGGCCTCTTTTTCAGACTTATTCCAATAAATAAACTAAATATAAAAATGAAATAACGCCCTCTCATTAATTATCTAATTTTTTGCACAAATCACCATCTCGTCGTTATGATTATGTGACCACTTTTTCACGGAGTCAAGGTGCATATTATTCAGCTCGCATGTATCTTCTAAAATTTTCTTGTTTGGACAACTGCAACAATATCTTATCAACGACTCATGCAACTTGAAAGATTCATTTTTAGTCTTGAAAGAAATCTGTTGAAGAAAGAACTAATAAATAAATGCAAAAAAAGTTGCTTATGGCATAACATAAAAATTGCTCTTCCTTTGATGTACTTCAAGGTTCCTAATATTCCAAATTTTTTTGAAGCTTGATCATGTAACCCGATCTCTTTAAATCAATAACGCAGATTTCTCTTCGGATATTTGTCTCATCCCTCTTTATGAACTTCTGATATTTTTGTTGTACTCCGGATGGGAATTGTTCCGATTCAGCTCGGGACTCACATATAAGAATTTCGAAAGCTCTTGTCGTGGCTGATTGTTGAGGACACAATTCGACTCTATTAAACCTGCTAAAATCCACATAACTCTCACATTCAATCTCCCCAGATTAGGGCGCATCAATTATAAATAATTTAATTTCATATGTCTAATGAAGTGCATCAATTATATATAATTTCATATGTCTAATGAAATGCATCAATTATATATAATTTCATATGTCTAATGAAGCGCATTAATTATATATAATTTCATATGTCTCATCAACTATATATAATTTCATATGTCTCATCAACTATATATAATTTCATATGTCTAATGAAACGTGTCAATTATATATAATTAGTGAAGCGCGTCAATTATATATAATTTCATATGTCTAGTGAAGCGCATCAATTATATATAATTTCATATATCTAGTGAAGCGCATCAATTATATATAATTCGTATGTCTAGTGAAGTGCGTCACTGGGGAGATTATCCAAATCAGCCGATATGTTTTATTAACAACTCTAACCACGAATCCCAACTTAAGGAAAAACTAACAAAACGCACTCCAAAAATTTTAAAATTTCATAACAAAATAAGTCAAATCGCAACATCGACCAATCTCAGCTTTCAGCCACGACAGTATTTTTCTTTATTATAAACCCTAAAGCTCCTAATTCGGCCAAAATAATTTATAAAATTCACATTCGAGAGCTGATTCTAAATCAAAACAATTCCAATCTGGAGTACAACATTTTCATTAACTCTATCTTATCTCTCCTTTATAATCTATATTTTTATTAATTATCTTTCTTACAAGATACTCTGTAAGTGCTGCCGCGAATTATCATTTCGCACCATCTTGATTCTCACTAATGTGGTATGCAATACTACGCATAATGACTGGGAAAGAATTCATAATAAATCGATTTTTGAATTCGTGCTACTGCTTAGTGGGATCTGGTCTATCCCGTTTGTTTAGACTATCAATGGCTCCGATATTAAAATATCAAGAATTTTTATTTAAAAAAACCCGATATTATTATGTGAATTTAGTAATCCGAAGACACAACGTAACCATAACAACTAATTTTTTGCGATCTTCATCTAAATATATATAAATTGTACAATAGTTTGTAATACCATTCCCAACACTAGTATCATTTAAATTAGATCGTATGTTTTTGAATAGAATAATTAATGATTCTTTTAATTAATGATTCTTTTACTAGCGCAAAAGCTGGAAGTCGGCTCTATAAGCAAGTATAAAATACCGAATATTAGTATTGCCAATAAAACGTTATGTGGTTCCTTATTGAGTATTTACTCAGTAATGCTTGGTCAAAAAAAAATGCTAATAGAAAACTTACCTATTGCTTGGAAGCTAAAAACTGAGCATATACAATTCATGTTATAAAAGTCAATCCATCCTTATTAAGCACAACACTCCACCATACTTGACTAGTCGGGAGCTCAAATCCAAATCGTCAAACGTAGGGACGTTGTGCTTTTCTTTAATAACACCTTCGAGTCACTAGCCCGGATGAGATTATTACAAAGTTCGTAGTGTTTTGTCCTTTGATTTCGACTTCACCTTAATACTAGAAAGGTTGGCAAGATTAATTTCACCAATCATGCAGTTTTTAAAACATCTGATTTTTTGAGGTAATACAAATCTTTTTTTTTGGATCATATAGTAAAAAAAACTTACCATGATACTCATTTTCTTTAAATTGTGAAGATAATAACAGATTTTCAATAACACACCAATTGGTAAAACTTTAAATCGTCTATAATAACGATTGATAAGACTTAATAACTCTATAGTATTATAGTGCCGTGTAAGGTCAAGTTCAATAATTTTTTATGTGTGGAACTTTCCATTTGAGTAATACGATGAACCATTTCTTTTGTGCCAACCATCAGTGTTTGTTAATGTTGCAAAATTTTATACATTTTGCAACAGATGAATATGAACGTGTAGGTTAAATAGGGTCGTAAAGTTCAGATTTTAGGGAATATCTATTTTTAGTAAAAATTAAATGAATTAATAATTGACCAGTAGAAATGCATTATGAGTAATGATACATTGACCCCGGCTCATACCTTTAAAAGGCTATTCGACATAGCAATAGATGATGATCGGTGCTATTTGCTATTCGACATAGCAATAGATGATGATCGGTGCTATTTGATTCTAAACACTTTAGTTTGAATTATGGAATATTAATTAACAAGAATAATGCGGTGGCAATTACTTTATCAGCAGTTATTTATCCATTTCTCTAACGAAAAGACGTTTTTACAATTTAAAGTTGAATTTAAGGCGTTAATCTATGAAAAAACATTGTTTAATGAAAAACATTTTAACTTTTTTTGGCTATTAACGTTACAAGAGATTAATAGTATGTACGATTGTTTTTTTTGATGAGTCAGATAGATATGGGAGATATAAGATTGATGTCGATCATATTAAGAGATCTGATTGGTGCATCTTTCATTGGGGGTGTATCCATGGTTGATAAATTATCATAACGGTAATTTTTTAAATTTTTTTGGTAAATTCGGTAAATTGTAAATTTTACCTTTAATAATATAGTTTGTGTACCATCAATCATGTGCTTTGGTGGTTAAAAATTTTTTTAGCCAATCAAATTATATAATTTACAGCACAGATAACAAGCCTATTTGCGATAATCATTAATAATTAAGG